TACATGTGCCTAGGTTCATAATAGTTAGAAGGTTTAACCATTTTGTTCCTATTTTGTGAAAATGATGGTTTTTGGAAATTTTGAAACTGGTCTCTTCTAGGTGTTCTAGCATTATTTCTTCTTATTTGAGAAAATTCATTTTTATGCACAAAATCATTTTTCTTGGGTTGTCTACCATGACCGTTTTCATTTCTAGGTTTTAGTCTAGATTGTCTAGTGCCCTTAGGTTGACTATGTTTTCTATTATCTTGATTTTTAGGTTTCTTATGTTGAACCTTAGATGATTGTCTAGGTGGTGGCTCAACATTATCTTTAGCTTTATTTTTATCAAAACCTATTCCTTCTTTAGAAAAATGCATAGTGTCAAGAAGTAAATTTAAGTCTTTGTGAGGAGTATTAAATTTCTTGACCGTGCTCTCAAGTTTAGCGACTTGCTCTTTTAAAGCCTTACAAGACCCACATTCACTTGAAGAACTTTCTGGTTTGTCAGCGCTTCTTTTTCCAAAAAATTTGTTTTCTTGTTTAAGTATTTCATTTTCTTTTTCCAATTTTTCAAAATCGTTTTCAAGTGTAGAAAGATGTTTCTTCAAAGATTTATTTGTTTTAGAGGCGCTAACAAATTCTTCATAAAGTTCATGAAGTGCTTCTTGCATTTCTTCAAAAGTATAAGAGTCGGAAGAAATGTTACATACCTCTTGGACGTGGTCGCTTTGATCTTCGTGTGCCATGAGGCAGAGATTTGCAGCTTCGTCCTCCTCTTGGTCGGTTGATTCATCGCCGGAATCGCCACCCCAAGAGATGTAGGCCCTTTGCTTCTTGAAGCCAGGCTTATCCTTGCCGTGTTTGGCCTTTGGACACCTTGGCTTGATGTGGCCAATCTCGCCATAGCCGTAACACTTGGGAGGACCGTCGTGCTTCCTTCCCTTCCGCTCAAATTCCTTGTTCATGAACTTGTGGAACTTCTTGATGACGAGCCCGAATTCATTGTCGTCATCGCTTGAAGCCTCTTCCACCGGTTCCTTGGTAGCTTTGAGAGCTATCCCCTTTTTCTTTTGTTCATCCAAAGACGGGGTTAGAATAGTAGATTCATAGGTTTTAAGGTTACCTCTTAGCCCGTCGATGGTGACGTTGGAGACTCCAATGGATTCATAGATTGCATCGGCTTTGGACCTCCATTCGGGTGTGAGGCTCCGCAGAATTTTCCTTACGAGATCCTTGTTTGTGTAAGTCTTTTTGAGAGCATGAAGATCGTTGATGATCTTTGAGAACCGGTCGAACATGTCATCAATTTTCTCACCTTCTTTCATCCGGAACATTTCGTACTCTTGGGTGAGAAAGTCGATCTTGGCTTCGCGAACTTTATCGGTACCTTCGTACGTCACCTCAAGCTTGTCCCACATCTCCTTGGCGGTTGTGCAACAGGAGATCTTTCGGTAGTCATCAGGGTTGACCGCGCAATATAGCATATTGATGGCCTTTGCATAGTTTTCAATCTTCTTGATGTCCTCGGCATCAAATTCGTTTTTGGTCTTTGGGACCGTGGTGTCTCCCACTTTCTTCATAGGGGTTTCTTCGCCATTTTTGATCACCAACCACAATTGGAAGTTGGTGGAACGAATATAGATTCTCATCCGTTCCTTCCAATAAGAGTAGTTGGTGCCATCAAAGAGTGGTGGCCTAGAGGTTGATTAACCTTCTCCAATTCTTGCATAGAGATTTCTAGAAGAAGAACCCATGATCACTTTACTCTCAAACGGTTAACTTTGGACGCGAGTTAGGCTCTGATACCAATTGTTAGAATAAAGGACCAACGCTAGAGTTGGGGGTGAATAGCGTTTGATCAAAAATCGTAGGAATAAAAATGAATAAACGAAAAGTAAAGAGAAGAGTAAGAGGCACACCGATTTTACCCTGGTTCACCACAACTTGTGGCTAATCCAGCCTCCCGAGAGACTCTCTCGAGCTACACTACTATCTCGTTAAGCTTAACGGTGCTTAACAAACCCGTACAACTTGAGAGCTTGAGTCACACGAACCTCAACAAACCTTCGAAGGAAACAACCCTTCGTTCGAACAACAAGAGAAGTACTTTCTCTTGTCAAGTGTCTAAGAACACTAAAAACACTCAAGAACAATACTCTCTCTTAGAGTGGATAATGAGTAACTAAGAACGCTCAAGAACGCAACACAAGCTTCACAAAAATGGCTCTCAAAAAGCTATGAAAAAGTGATGAATGATTTGCAATGAAAGAGTAGAAGTTGTGAAGTTATGTGATGATTAAAACAGACCCAAACACCCCATTTTATAGTGGAAAAATAGGCTCCAACGGACCAAAACATTTAAGGGGTGATTGGCACAATTTGTGGGATTTGATTAAATTTGGATCTGCTGAAATTCACCCAGACAGCGCTGTCCTAGGCTTGGACATTGCTGTTCTAGGCTTGGTTTTTAAAAACTGGGAAGCAACGGTCAAGCCAACAGCGATGTCCAATACCCCTACATTGCTGTTTTGGCTGTTGACTTCCAAACAAGGAAAGTTTTAGCCTTAAATTTCTTCCAACGGTCAGGTCCCTACATCGATGTTCCATACTAGAACATCGCTATTTAGGTCTGCCTTTGAAGATGGAAGTTTGGCCTGACATCGCTGTTGCTGGGTCAACATCGCTGTCCAAAAACTTTCTGCCAATGCACTATATTTTTGGCTTAGGTTGGACAGCGCTGTAGGGAAGCCTACATCGCTGTTCCAGAAGTTTCTGGAAATCCAACCTTGGCTCAACAGCGATGTCTAACATCCAACATCGCTGTTGGAAGACTTAACGCCAAACCATGGTTTTCAGCCACCCAAGCCAGACAGCGCTGTTGGTTTCACCAACATCGCTGTTGGGCTGGTTTAGTCAGACCCATGGTTGGTTTAGTCAGCCGTTAGCCGATGTCAAAAATGTAAGTTCTCTAAAATAAAAACCAAATATTGAAAATGTTTGTTTAATGCATTTTGCTAAGAAATCAAGTAAAACATTTTGAAAACCACGTCATTTAGTTGAAAACCACGGCTAGCCAAGTTTACGCCGTTTCGCATGGTTTTCACTAAACGACCAAAAACGAAGGGTGGTTTTTGAAGCGTTTTTGTTGGAGAACTATTTAAACATGCCCAGAAGTAAAAACCAATCATTAAAAGTTGAAAACCACTTGGTTGGTTCGGACGCCAAAAACCAACACCGATAACCAAAAGCCGAACGCCGGTTTCCGATGACCGAACGCCGGATGGCTTGGTTTTTGGTTTGGGCAAACTCCAAGTGTTTTTAGGCAGTTTAACACTTAAGAAAAACATTTTTGAATATGCAAAAGATATTTTGATGAGAGAAGCCTAGAGACCCAAGATTTGAAAGTTGTGCCGGTCTTGATCACATTAAGACCGACTCAATACAATTCTTATTCTTCGTTCTTGATTCTTGGTTCTTGGTTCTCAAATCATGCCATGTTCCTTCGCCTTGGTTTTTCTCACTTTAGCCTTGTTATGGTCACGGCGGTTTGGCATTATCAAAACCTGTCATAAGACGAACACGGCTTAGTACGACATAGGCGTAAACCCGTGTTCCAACAAACTTGACATGGCGAAAGCTTTTGACAAGATTTCTTGGTCATATTTAAAAGAAGTGCTCAAATCCTTTGGATTTAATGATCACTGCATAGCACTTCTTCTGCAAAATCTAGAGGCCACTCACATTTCTTTGCTCATCAATGGAAGCCCCCACGGATTTTTCAAAATCAAGAGGGGAGTCAAACAGGGAGATCCTCTTTCTCCTCTCCTCTTTATCATTGGGTCTGAGGGATTCTCTAGGAGCCTGAACTATGCTATCTCTTCTGGTTTTATAGCACCATTCAAGGCAGGGAAAAGTCAAGTGGTTTCTCATCTTGCATTTGCAGATGACCTCTTAGTATTTCTTAAGGGCGACCTAAGGAATATGCTGAGATTTAATCACATCCTACATAACTACCTTAGAGCTTCTGGACAAGAAATTAACAGCAAGAAAAGTAAGGTTTTCTGCAAGAAAAACAGCCACTGGACATACAAAAAGAAACTGGAGGAAGCTCTTGGATTTATGGTAGGAAGCCCACCTTTCAAGTATTTGGGGTCCACTATTACAACAGGTAAACTTAAGAGAATCCACTGTGATCAAATCCTCAATCACTTTGATGCTTATCTTAATAGTTGGTACAATAAGGAGCTTAATCCCATGAGCAGATTATTTCTCATTAAACATGTGCTTAGTGCTATTCCTTTACACACACTAGCTGTGCAAGACCTTCCCAGATCTGTCATCACAGTTATCCAGGGAAAACTAGCAAACTTCTTTTGGGGCTCTAATAATGGGAAGAACAAATATCACTGGGCAAAATGGACTGCACTTTGCAAACCTACAGGCGAGGGAGGACTGGGTTTGAGAAGCCTTGAAGATATTCAAAAGGCTTCCGCTTTGAAGCTTTGGTGGAAGGTGATTAATGGTGATTCAATCTGGTCTAAATTTATGAAAGATAAATACTACAGGGATGGCCTGTTTGAGGCCAAATTGTATGACTCTTCCTCATGGAAAAGAATCTGCAGAATTTCTCCATTTGGGCTGCAAAACACATCCATGATCAATTCAAATCTCACATGGAGCAATGGAAACTTTTCCTTTAAGGAGGCTTACTCGGCAGTAAGGGATAGAGATATTAGCACTCAGATGAACACCCTCACCTGGAACAAATTCCAGATTCCTAAGATCAAGCTTTTCACCTGGAAAGCTATAAATCACTATCTCCCTTTTCCTAACATCCTTAGGAAACTCTCTTACAACATGCCTATCAAATGTCCCTTCTGTGCTAGGGAAGAAGCTACGGATCAACACATCCTCCTCACTTGTAGTGTTTCCCAAAGAATTTGGAAGGCCTTCGCAGACTATGTAGGGGGGCCTACTTGGAATCAAGGTACAGACCTTAACACTTATATGCTACAATGGTGGGTGAATCATAACCAAGCAACAATACGAGGTCTCCTTAAGCTCATACTACCAGGTTGCATAATTTGGAATCTTTGGAAGGCCTATAATCGTTGTATTCATGATGATACCAGCATAACTAATGTGGGTATTATTATAGACATACAAAAATTAGTACAACACTGGTACTGGTCGAACAAAAAGGTGCAAAAGATTGCCACAAGCGCAGATATTCAAGCACTTAATCTTAAACCTTACCTGAGCAAGATTTGGCCTTGATTGAGCAGCGCTGAATTCGCGGCAAGGATGAAGAAAGAGCTTAGCCGGTTCATTTGGCAATATTTTACTTTTTGGGCCTTTCTCTTTTTTTTTTCCTTGGGCTTTTATTGTCGGGTTGGCCTAACCGATCTTTGTACATTCCTCTCTTTAATCTACTTGGTAAGGGTTCCCCGAACCTTACCCCACTGTTTAAGTGGTTTCCTTTTTGGGACAAATATATATATATATATATATATATATATATATATATATATATATATTGTTGGGAAAAATATTATAGATTTTGATGATGATGTATTTAGAATGTAATAGGGACTTTAGGTCTCCCCCAATATTCAATGTAATTTTTCTTTTTAGAAATATTGTCAAAACCGAGCTCTTGAGATTTCCAATAAAGCTGTGATATTTCTTTAAGCGTTTTGATGCCTGAAGACTTAATCAAATTCAGTAATATGAAAATTGGATATCTTGATCAGAAATGACAGAGACAAGTAAGGATTTATCAATCAGATGAAAATCCTCAGATCCGGAAGACTACATAAGAACCGGATGTCTCACTACAACCCGCTGAAGACTAAGTCATCCAATTCGGAAGACTAGCCCGGATCTCTTTCTCACCCGGAAGTCTGAGAATGACTCCTCCGGATTTGTCAGCTAAAGAATCGGAAGACTCATTGAAGACCGGAATTCTCAGAAAGCGGACAAGTGAGAAAAGACTTGGAAAAATTATCTAAGTCCTGAATGAAGAAATTCTAACCGTTGGTAAGGAAAAATCAATCTCTTGATTTTCAACGGCTAGATTGAAGATAATTATGCTGATTCAAGAACAAATTACTCGAAGACAAAGTCTGGGCCTCTAAAATTGAAGAGCCTGTC